TGTACTGCTTTGGACCTGCTTAGCCTTGGAGATGTGTTAGCATCCCCTGAGTCCGTGGAGGTTTTGGAGTGCCCTGACGTGGAGCAGGGATTGAGGAGCTGGTCCAGCGCAGGGAGGGGAGAGGCCTGGGTCCCCAGAGCCAGGGCTGAGGCCCAGTGGGGTGGTCGCAGCCCAGGACCCTAAGGAAGGTGCCTGGGGTGGGGGTTGGGCAAGAGGAGTGGGAGGGAGGGGAGGGGAGAAGGGAGGGAGAGGGGAGGAGAGACATCAGAGTGGGGCCTGGGGATGGGGCGTCATCAGGTGGCCAGGGACCTGGGTGCAGGCCAGGCGAGCAGAGGAGCCGCGGGGACCTCCCTCGGGCGCCCGAGCAGAAAGGGGCTGGGCAGCTGCCTCCCAGGCCGGGGTGTGGCCCTGTGCCTTCTGCTGCGCCCTTCCACCTAAAATGAAGTTTTAAAATTTTATCTGCCTGTCTGCCTACTGACCTACCTATCTAGAGACAGGGTCTCGCTGTGTAGCCCAGGCTGGCCTAAGAGTTTGCAGAGATCCTCCTGTCTCAGCCTCCTGAGCTCAGGGATTACAGGTGTGACCACCGTGCCCTGACCCCAGGACCAGTGTGCGGAGCCCAGCGTGTCTAACTGGTCTCATCAGCTGCTGCTTTCCTTCAACATCACAGCATAAATATTTGCCCACACCGTAAATTTACAAAATACGATCTCAGCAGCTACCCCGTGGCACGTCATAAATTCTGAGTCCTAACAGTGCTTGGGTTCCATACCCCTAAGTCTGCAGTGAACGCCTCCTTTCACTTTTGTCTGCACTTCCCTTTTTTTTCCCAGTTCTGCACTGAACCCAGGGCCCTCATGCTGAGCTGCATCCCCAGACCTTTTGTATTTTTTATTTCGAGGGAGGGATCACTAAGTCACTAAGTTGCCCTGGCTGGCTCAGGCCGAGATCCTCCTGCCTCAGCCTTCCAGAGTGCTGGAGTGACAGCTGTGTGCACCACGCCAAGCGTTCCCACAAATGGGGTCATGGGACGAAGGGTGCCAAGTTGCCTTTTGGAGAAACTCTGCCCTCCCGCCCGCTGTCCTGACTGCGGCTGTTTTGCCGTGAAGTCACCAGGCCTGTGAGGGCACTGGTGTCACTCACTTTCTCGCCTCTTGCTCGCTCCTTCTTACTCTCAAGGCTCAGCAGCCATCTGTGCCCCCGAGGCCCCTAAGCCCGGCCCAAGGCCACTCAGCATCCTGAAGGGCAGGCAGGTCCCCAAGGTGGATGCTGGGAGCCCCGGGCTGTGACCTGGCTAAGGTGGGCCCGACCCAGGAGCAGTTCCTCCCAGATCTTCGGGTTTGGGCTGAAGAGGACAGGCCGGGAAGTGTGTGCCTGTGAGCCCCTCGCTGGCTGTCAGGGAGAGGCTGCCCCATCTTCTTGTTTGCTTGGTTGGGTTTTTTGGAAGCAGGGTCTCACTTGGTAGCCCAGGCTGCCCTCACACTCTCAGCAGTCTTCCTGCCTCAGCCTCCTGGGTGCTAGGACTACAGGTGGGTGCTGCTCCTTGTCAGGTCCTTCACTTGGTTTACGAGAAGCTGTGGGACCCTGAGCCTTCATTTTACTGTAAGGTGACTGAGGTGCTGACAGGGACAGGAGGCCCCTGGTGATCCGGCGGCAGGGAACAGAGAGCCAAGCGCTGTCCGGGACTATTTTGGGTCCCCAGCCAGGGCTACTGCCTGTCCCCAGCGGGGCCCTGTCACCTCCTCCTTGCCTGGGCGCCAGCAGCTGGGCAGGCGTCAGCTGTCGATCTGTGGCGTCGGCAGGATGGAGCAGGCGTCGCCCACACTGGGATATTTTTAGACGAGGGCTGCAGGCCCTAGAGGCTCGCATACCGAGGAGACCTCACGTGCCCCAGTGGGGACCTGGTGACTGACAGGACCTCCTGCCTGTTGGGGTCGCCAGCCCAGACATGGAACCTCCTCCGAAGATGTCCCGGCTCCACTCTGGTAGGACGGACAGGATGCTGTGCTGGGTCCTCTGTCCCCACACTGGCCCGGGGCACAGCAGTCCCAGCGGGGAGTCGTTCACGCCAGGGCTGTCCCCAGACTGACCGCGGCTGGAAGCCACTGCTCCTAGTGCCGGGCGAGAGGCTCTCCGATTCCTGCGCCCCTCACACTGGGCGGCCCGTGCCCATGCCTGTGGCGTCCGCCATTTCCGCGTGCGACCCGAAGCAGGAGCTGGCTCACGGGGAAGAACACACAGGCCAGGCCCAGCGAGCAGGGGTGGCCACAAGCCCTGTGCTGCCTGCCGGGGCCACCCCTCTGTGTCGCCTCCATGTGGCCAGCCACACCGGGGCTGAGGGACACCCTGAGCCTGGGTGACAACCTTGGGGCCTGTACACCCGGTCATGGCCCAGCACTCAGGAGGAACAGGGCTGCGCTGGAGGCACAAGCATGCTGAGGACCCGCTTTCTCCACAGCCTCTAAGAGCCCGTGGGTCTCCTCCCAGTGGATTTGTGGCCTTTGCTGCATTTACCCACTTTCTAGGTTAAAAGTAAGAAAATACATCTTTTAACTATCTTCACTGTTTACCATTTCTAGAGCCCTTCCCTCTCTGGATCCAAAATTCTTCCTGGAAGCTGGATGTGGGCCTCATGCCTGTAAACCCAGCACTCAGGAGGCTGAGGCAGGAGGATCACCCTGAGTTCCAAGCCAGCCTGGGCTTCACAGCGAAACCCTGTCTCAAAAACAAGACATTCTTCCTGCGATCTTCTGGTGGCTATTCTTTAACATCCCTTGCACCACAGACCTGCTGGCCATGAGTTCTCTCTCCTTTCTTACGTGAGATCTTTACTTCATCCTCTGAGCAGAGGATGTTTCTGCATGGCCTGACTGGCTGGGTCTCAGAGGAGACGTCACTGTTACTCCCACGGCCGCGGGCTGCGTGCGCATTGTTTTTCTCTGAGTGATGGCTAGATGTTTTCTCTCTTCCGTTTTCCAGCAGTTTGGCTGCGATATGTCTGCTGTTGCTGAGGCTTTGTCTCGCCCTGTTTGGGGTTCTCCAAGCTCCTGGGGTGTGACGGGGCTCTCAGCCAGCATCTCAGGGTGTGTCTTTTGGGGGGAGCACTGCTGTCCCACACCGCAGTGGGCCTGTGCCCATTCACCTTCTTTCTTTGCAGTGCTAGGTGTGGAGCCCAGGCCCCCCCCCCACACACACACACTTTTTTTTGTTTCTTTGAGACCAGATCTCTGCATATAACCCAGGCTTGCTTGGAACTCACAGCGATCCTCCTGTCTCAGCCTCCGGAGTGCCAGGATCGCGGGCCTGCTCCCCACACCTGGCCCACTTCCTCTTCTGGAATCTTACTTAGCAGAGAGGCTGCAGTCACCACCAGCCCGGTCAGGTGTGCCCCACCCAGCAGGGTCGGGTGTGTTCCTGGACTGGGTGGCGCCCCAGCCTCTGGAGGGTTCTCAGACCCCGCCTGCCAGGACACAGGATGAGGGGCTGCTGCTCTGGCGCCCCCAGTGGCCAGAGCAGACACTGCGAGGACCTCGCCAAACCCAGCGCAAGTCTCCTCGCTGCCACTGTGGGGCGCCAGTCACCCAGCCTGCGGCACCCGCCTCCCATCCTCAGAGGTGGAGAGCACCTGGTGATGCTGGAGGAGCGTGGGCTGTTCCCGTGACAGACCTTGGGCAGAAGCCCCTGCGGCCTCAGCCCCGACCAGGGGCATCGAACCCAGACGGGGCCACACCTAGGCCTGGCTGGGTGCAGGGAGGCTCGAGGATGAGGGGTGGCCACGGCCCGCACACCCCAGCCCTCTGCCAGACAACTGTCCTGGAAAGTACCCCAGTACCCCAGGGTCTTGAGGCCAGGCAATAAGCAAGGTGAAAGCCAGGCATGAGCGCACACCTGTAATCCCAGCACTGGGGAGGCTGAGACAGGAGGATCGCTGTGAGTTCAAGGCCAGCCTGGATAACATAGTGAGACCATGTCTCAAAAAATATAATAAAGAGGGCCAGGGATTTAGCTCAGTGGCACCACGCCTGCCTCACAAGTGCAAGATCCTGAGCTCCATCCCCTGTGCTGAAAAGAAAAAAAACAAAAAGAAGCAAGGATGCCAGTGAAGGGCCACAAAGACCCTTGCAGCCATCTCCCTGCAAGCAGCCCCTGCCTCCCCCCAAGGTCCTCTGTGCAGAGTCCGTGGCTGCCCTGTCCAGTAAGAGGTTCAGGGAGGCTGGTTTGCCACCGACAGAGCCAGGCATCTTGGGCTTCTGCATCCTTGACGCCACGGGACATGCGATTTCCACGTCCTCCCTGGAAGGGGACCTGGAACAGGGCCAAGGGCAGGGTCCGCCCAGCGGCCTCACTCGGCTTCACAGAGGGAGTCGCCGGCCGGCCAGTGTGGGACAGGCTGCTGCAGGGATGGAGGCGGTGCGGAGCCTGCACGGTGCCCAGGCGGGAGGCAGCATCCTGGGCAGACCCGGGGGCTGGGGAGCTCCCCTCTTCCCACCACTGCCCACTCCCAGGTCACCGCTGCCACACCCGGCACCACAGCCCACCCTGCAGCCTGGTGGCCAAGGCCACACCTCCGGGAAAAGCACTGCAGCCAAGCGGGGACAGGGTCCCTCGGTCACACCTGCACGGTCAGCCTGGAGTGTCAGCCCCACTCCACGGCACTCACTCGGCTCACTCATCCGTGAGACCTCGCAGGATGGCCTGGCCTCCCTGCAGATCCCTGGCCCTGGCCCTGGCCCTACCCCGGGTCCCCAGGGCAGCCCAGGAGGCCTGGTGGGGAGGGACCGGCGGGCTGTCCACTGCCGCCCACAGCAGGGACGTGGTCAGCTCCAGGGGCGGCACGGCCCTGCCTTGGGCCGTCCCAAGCTCCTGACCCGTGAGTGTCCGTGTGCGGGACACGGGGTGTCATGCCAGAGCTGCCCAACCCCACCTCCCAGCTAGCAAACACCCGGCACCAGGGCCAGGCCAAGCACCCTAGAGGGCCTGACACCTTCTTTTTCCCTCAGGAGCTACAGGGACCTCACCGACTGCACCCGGGACATGGCGGAGAGGCTGGGCTGCTTCTGGCCCAATGTGGAGGTGGACAAGTTCTTCGTGGCCGTCCACCAGCGCTACTTCCACAGCTGCCCCGCCTCTGGCCGGGCTGTGGGGGAGCCGCCCAGCACTGTCCTCTGCCCCTTTGTTGTGCTCCCCATCACGGTGACCCTGCTCGTGACGGCGCTGGTGGTCTGGAGGAGCAAGCGCACAGAGGGCATCGTGTAGGTGGCCCAGGCCGCCCTCTGGGGGCCATGCAGGGCCAACAGGACTTGAGAGCGACCCCCCTGGCCACCTTGCTGAGGTGGGGCCCCCAGGGGGGACCTAAGATGCCACCCCAGCTCACCTCCTGTCCTCAAGTGCTAGTGACCACCACACCGCCCTGAGCTTCAGCCCAGGCTGCACACCCACCCCGTAGCTGTTTGTGGATGAGTAGCCGTGATTAAAACCATGCTCTCTAACTGGGGAAGCGTCCTTTTTTTCTGGGCAGAAATACTCTGTTACCTGGAGGACAGGGCTGGGGACCCTAGCTGCTCCCTGCAGTCCCTCGGGTTGGTCGCTGTGAGGCCCTCTGAAGGGACCCTGTGGTGAGGAGGGCACCGTATGCATGGGCAGCACTCTGAGGTCACCGCCACCTCGCCCACCGCCACTCAGCCCTGCCTCAGAACCAGACACGGGCACCGTCAGGTCCAGAACCCAAAGGGCAGTCCCAGGGAAGGCGCTGTCCTTGTCCTCATTTTACAGAAGAGGGAATGAGAGTTGACGTCATTGCTAAGTTAGCTAAGGAATCAGCTCGTCTGTCAAGTGAAATTCCCGGGGAAAGCCCAACACGAAGGACAGGCGCCAGCCAGAAGGGGCCGGGACAGCTTGAATTTGAAAAATAAGACCTGCCTTGCTTTCTTGCTTTCTTTGTGTCCGGCCTGGAGAAATGTCCACTTCTCCAGCGCTCCTGTCATGGAAAGTAGGGAGGGAAAGCAGTTGGAGTCACAGAATCCAAAAATGGCAAAAGAAAACCCGGGAGTGCGGCTCAGGAAATGGGATTGGCCGAGAATGCTGCTGTTCCCAAAACTCCCTGAATTAATGAGCTCAGGGCAGGTAAGTTTCCAGGGAGCCAAGAAGCGTGCTGGGTGAGAAAAGCTTCAGTGCCCCCGGGGCGTCCCTGCCAGGTATGTCCCGCGGGCGCCTCTACAGGGCAGGCAGGAGGGGGCAGCACCAGGCGAGAGGAGCCGGGGGCTCAGAGCTCCAACATCTGCCCCGCGTGCATCAGAACGAGGGGACTGTGGCCTTCGCTGGGGACAAGTCCAGGGGCCGCCAGGAGCTGCGGGAGGACTCGGTGTTTTTGCTCACAGGGACCCGTGGCCTGGCATGGCTGGGAACAGCCCTTCCCGGCTGTGTGTACACAGACACGTATGAGGCCGATGAACACGTATGTAGGGGCTGACTGATGTCAGTGTTCCCAGGGAAGCCTCACAGCAGCAGCCTTCGACGTTGGCGAGTGTTGGACCAGCTGGAAGGCAGGGGCTTGTGCACGGCTCTCCAGGTGGAAAGGTGCCGTTCCACCAGGGCCTCGCCACCAGGAACAAGAGGCTGTCACCTCGGCTCCCCTCGGGAAAGCCGGTCCTGTTCATTCCCAGCACCCTCTCTTCTAGTTTATCCCAAGGACGGTCAGAGGCAGACCCATCTAGAGGGCCTGTTGATAGCGGGCAGTGGAGACGCCCCAGGCCCTACGGGGATCTGGATCCAATTAACTCGGAGGACACCTGAAGACCTCCCGACACAGGGACATTGCTGGGGCACAGAGTTCCCTGGAAGAGACGGATTTCAAAACAGGAAAGCGACCGTGTCAGTGTGGGTGGAAACATGGCTCCAGGTCGGGTCATGCAACTCAACTTGCTAGTCTGGACCGGAAGACGCTGGCGCAGGCCCAGGAGACCTCGGCTGGACTCCGCCCTACTCCCTTCCCAGCTGCGGGTGCCGAGCAGCAGTGTCTCTACCTCTCCATGACTGCACATGGGGGGGGTGATGGCATGAGGCACCAGCCCATCCCAGGGCCTGGGTTCAAGCTTCTGAGAGCGCCACGGATGCCTAGGAGGGGCAGGATGGGGAGGAGAGGAGGCTGAGACACCCTCCTGTGTACTGTCACAGCCTTCCCTCAGATGCTCTCCGGGTGCACTGGAGAAGGGCACTCGAGACTGTAACCCCTGCACTGGGGAGGCTGAGGCAGGAGAGTCACCAAGAGTTTAAGGCCAGCCTGAACTACATTGCCAGAGACTCCTGCAGTAAGTCTCTAGTCTCTACCTGCCCAGTGAGTGACACAGAGTTGAAGAAAAACTTAAGAAAGAGATAAAGAGAAAGTGTGAACTGCGACGGCCAACGGTCCTTTGGCAAAAGGCCCTGGCCTGTCTCTTCCACCGAATTTTATTATTCATCAGTCAGAGCCAAAGTGCACGTGTAGATGCACAGTTTGTGAAATTACCATGGAAACTAATGCAGCCAAGGCTTTAAAGAGAACTCAAAACATTTTCAAGTTAGAAGCAAGATAGACAGAATACATGGTTGTGATTAGAGCTTTGTCCTTCAGGCTATGAAGGCACTAAGGTGGGCATGGAGTTCGGGTGACATTACTCCGACCTCAGCTTCGGATATTATCTCCTTTCAGCCCCACAGCCTCACAGGCCATTGCTCCGGCCTCGGCTGTGGCCATTAGCAGAAGGTCACGTTGACCTGAGCTCTACCACAGTGCTCAGGAGGTGCTTCTGTGAGTCACGCAGCTCCAGTCAGACTCACTTCTTACAGGAAGCCAGTCGGGGGATTTGACTCTGCAGCCTGCACTGCTCACAGTGTATTTTGGGTGTAATCCATATTGCGGGCTCTGGTGCTACACGAGGAGACCCTGCCTAGGACCAGTGTAGAGAAAAGAAAGGGCGCCAGGGAACTGCTGCCTGCAAACGCCCCTCCTCATAACCCACGCCAGCCACAGGAGGCTTCGGGGCTGAGGAGTCCTGACTGCTACCTGGGGTGGGTGAGGGGGCGGGTGCCTGGCAGTCAGCCTCAGGGCGCTCTCTCAGTGGCACCTGCAGCCCCACACCTGTCCACTCAAGCCCTCACCTGGCACCCTCTCCTCACAAGAAACAACAACAAGCCATGGCGGCTCACAGTGTAACCCCAGCAGTCTAGGAGGCTGAGGCAGGAGGACAGCAGGTCCCAGCCCAGCCTGGGCAGCTTAGGAATTTAGTGAGGCCCCTATCTGGAAAGAAGAAATAGAAAGTGCTGGGAATGTGGATAAGTGCAAGGCCCTGGGTTCAATCCCCAATATCAAAAAAAAAGTTCAGGAGCGGAACGAGGCTGGCAGAAACAGCGGGGAGAGAGCAGGGAGGGGCGGAAGGGCACGGGTGCTGTCCACAGTGCACAGTGCGCAGGGCACAGCCGCGGCCTCTGGCCTCTGCCCCCTGGACTCCCGTCCGTCCTGCAGGTGGGGCGCCGCGGGAGAGCTGGCAGGACAGCGCGAGCATTGCAGCCAGGCCTCTGGCCCGGGCAGAAACAATACTGCGGGGCTGGGCCCAGGGGAGAGGCCGCAGGCTCAGGGTGACCAGGCCGCTCCCGCGGGCCCCTGGGGAAAGCTGGGACTCAGGGCTCCTGCAGGCTGGGCCCACGCGCCCCTCCCGCCCGGGGGGGGGGCGGGGGGGGGAGGCGGCCCCACCCCGGGACTGGTTCGTCCCCGCCCTGTCCCGCCCACCGCAGCCCTAGGACTCGCCTGAGAGGCCAGGAGCTTGCAATGCTTAGCAACGGTGCCCCGCACGGCACAGCGCTCGCCCTGAATCCAGCAGTGGTGACCAGTCAGTGTCCCCTCCCGACGCTTCTTATCCCCTTCCTTCTTGTCACCCCAGGGCCCCTCAACCCTTCTTCTGGAACGGGAATACCCTTTATAATGGTGTCGAAAATACAGGTGCCCCAAACAGCCAGGCCTGAGGCCTTCCACCCGGAGTGTTTTTAACGCCCATGTTGGCACATGGCCTTGGAACTCCACACAGGCCATGGGTGCCAGGTAGGCAGACATAGAACGGCACAGCGGGAATACAGCAACTCCCCGCCTGCTAGATGTCAGGTTCCCCAAAATCGAAGAATGAATTTAAGGGACAGCGGGGGTCACGAGTGGGAAATACGTACAGATAGGTTAGCTCCCGAGGGACAAGAGGGGACCCCGCTTCACAGGGGGAGGTTTTATAGAGCAAAGTCACCAGGTGGTGCAAGGCGGGACAAAACCTTGATCAACCAAGGAGGTCACAGGTTTGGCCACTTGGGTGAGAGTGAGCCGGTGGGGACGTGCTCACTTGGCCAGCATGCGTGGAAAGAACAAAGAACCTCTCAGGAAGGGCTGGGCTTGGGCTGCTGGGCTGGTCACTCCCCGGGTGACTGCTATCCATCTGGACCACGTGTTACCACCTACCTCACCCCTTGGGGAGTGTGCGGCCTTTATCTGTCTAGAGGCCTGGCCTCCAACTGAGGCGCCTCGGTCACAGCTGTAACGTGTTTTTATCTTCTGCCCTGACTCTCCAGGGCCCAGCCCTACCTGACAGCCTATGATATTTCTACCTAACTTAGCTGCCTATAATAATACTGTTCTGTAAATATCATTTGGCTGGGGCTGCCAGCGACCTGAGGGCCTGAGGCAGGAGGATCTCAGGTTGAAGGCTAGCCTGAGTGACTGAAAGAGCTCTTGTCTCAAACAGAAAAGGACCCGGGAAGTGGCTCAGTGTTAGAGCACGTGCTTAGCACGCAAGGCACCTGGGTTCAGTTTCCGGCACCACAAAAAACCATATTTTCAAAAATGAGCATATTTGTTATAAACCCCTAAGGGGAGAGTTTGGACCAGTTTATTGCTATTTATAAATTTTCTCTGAAGTGTACTCCTTTATTTTGCTTCTTAATACAAACGTTTAGAAGTGGACCTTTGGGTCAAGGGGCCCCTTGAGCTGTGTGTAAACAGTGCCTGACGGGTCACACGTGTTCACGCCTCTCACACCAGCGTCAGAAATAGTTCCCGCTCACTAACACTTGTGCCAAAACGAGTATTACAGGGCCCGGGATTTAGCTCAGTGGTTTCGCTGCCTGCTGCGCAAGCACAAGGACCTGAGTTCCCAAGGACCAAGGACCCCAGTGCCAAAAACAAACAAACAAACAAACAAACAAACGGGTATCACTTCCTCTCTAGAAAACGAAAACCAAAAAAACCTCTAACCTTGAGCTAAGGAAAAGATTCTGCCAACTGCAGTCCCATCCAGTCTGTGAGTGCAGTGGGGCCAGCTCCTCCCTCAGTGAGTCGGGCTGGTCCTCGCCTGCTGCACAGCAGGCAGAGCAGTGAAAGACAGATTAGCATAAAACGCCTGGTGCTTTGGTGTCATCCACACCCAGCAGAGCGGTGTCTGGCTTTATGGAAGTCGGCTGAGCTCTCAGCTCTGTGTCAC